GTCATAAAAAACATTACCAAAATGCCAGGTCCATAATATTTTTCTGGTACAAATCTAGCTCCTCGCATCGTTCCAGAAAGACGCCGCGAAATAACTGCCTTGTATTTCTCGAAAACTACCAAGAACTCATGAAATGTCGAGGATTTGTTCAATCAGGATCAGCGTTTCCTTTAATCTTAATTTCATTGCCCGATGAATCCATGATAGAACGACCACCTGCTTCCTGATTGGGAATTAATTATGTGGCAAGATTAACGTATTTATCTGCAAGGCCTTAGATACAATGCCAAATCTTCCTGCAGTTGAAGGGTGGTTGTTTCGCTCAGTGGTTGTCATAAAATGTGGACAATTTTGATGAAATTATATCAAAACTTCCATGCATGGCCGCCATGTTTTGATTCTGCCTACCACTCGCTGAAGACGAATGACATAAATTATAGACCATCTTTGCCAGCCAAGGACCATTTATTCGACCGAAGCCTCAACATTAACCCTTGGCAGATTTCACCACGATTTACTGTATGTCACACGCCCTCAAACGATTATAAGATTCATTTGGGCTCATTTGATTTACCCAATCAGAACTCACGATAGAAATGACATGGTGTGTTAGCTGAAGTCGACATGTTATCTGTTTCAACAGTTTTGTCAGTTTACTAAAACACGGTTTGCACAAATATTTAGATATCGCATCGTTTTCATTCACTTGCCCACAAACAATTTTCAACGTTAGAATAACAGAAATTGGGAACGTGTCAACAAACATAGACCTTCTGTTCTTGACTACCGGTGAATCAGCGCAGAGCCTACACGCCACCATTGTTTTAATCTGTGATGACCCCCCGCATCTTAAAATTTATGATACAGCAACGCTGATTGGTATCGCCAGCTTCTTGGCACGCCCAATCAAATTACTAAATTTAACTGCAGTGAAATACAGCTTTTCCTAACACGATCACGCATGGGTTCGTGGACCAGTTATGAATGGCCGGCTTTAGCGAAACCGTGCAATTCGGATGATGATTGTAGACAGTCTGTTGCAACTCTCTATCTGATATCACTATTAATATCTGCACTGACCACGTCTGTGTCGGAAAAATTGTTGTTGGGTAGTAGTTTACGGAATGTTCTTTGTCGTTTCTCGCTAGTACTCAAGGGTAGACTGATGCCCATAGCTTTTAATTTCTCACGTACTTCTGCCACTGTTCAGTTTATAAATAGATCGCCGACCTGAAGTAGAAACTCCCTATACTAGTATTGCTACTTGAATCTTGTAGTTGTGTAGATGCAAGCGTGCTGGTCTGCCTGGTAGTGGTAGAAACTTTTACTCCTTGTTGTTGCGGTGGTCGGTTGTGTAACGATGACTGACAATGTTTTCTGCCTCTTCATGGAATATTCATAGTAAAGTAGGATATCAATAAAATAGCGTAAAGTTGAAAAAAGCTCACCAAATATAGTGGGGAAACTGAAGTATCGTGAGATTATGCAAATTCAGGAGGAGCGAGAAATGCAAATTAATCATGTCAATAAATGATTCATAATGCTCCACATTAAGAATCCATATATAGTCGTATAATTTCGTAATGTTTTTGCTACATATATTGTCTTTGTAATAGACAGTCCAGTTTTTACCTTGCCCGTACCATCAAAGATGGAAGGGAAAGGTATATTAAGGGAAAGATTTTGTCCGGCGTTGTTGTTGTTGTCGTCGTCGTCGTCGTTAATAATTGTTATTGTGTGCAGAATAACTTTACTAATTCTATTCCAAACTTCATCAAACTTGGTCACCTTATTTATCAGTATAATGTCTTCCCTGAGTTTGAACAACAGATGTCCTGTATGAAAATATCATGCAAAAATTGAGAATCTGATAAAATATTTTGACTGTTTCTACTTGACTGATCACTGGTGATACACATCAAAGGTCACTGATCTCAGTGGAAATATGTATTGTTGTACTTGTTCAATGAAGCAAATGATTTATCTTGTAATAATATCCGTGGTAATGTATCCCAGAATCTCATACTGGGTTTCAAAACCA